CTCGAACGACTGGCGTGCTGCTTCTTGCAATCCGCCCAGACCCAAGGCGTTAGCCCGAGGATCATGCAAGGCGCTCATGAGGCCTCCAGCCCCGGCCAGCTGGCCAGCTGATGCATCGTGATGCCCTCCATGATGTCCAGGTTGAAGTGCCACACTTCCCTCTCTTCTTCTCCCCTGAGGTTCACCTCCCTCAGCCGTAGGGTGCATAGCCAAGCGTCGAACAGCAAGATCATCTTCAGCAGGAAGTGACGAGGCCCGAGCTGCCCTTTGCTCCTTGAGCAACCGGTCCAACTTTTGATCTGCTGTTTCCTCTGGCTTCTTTCGTTCTTCTCGATGTGCACGTCGAGGGGCCTCTGCGGGTTCAGCTGCTCCTTCTCGGGAGCTCTGCCTGCGTCGGCGCTGCAAAGCGGCCATGGCGGCCAGCAACCACACCTCTCACTCAAAGGCTGTGGGTGGACTTAGAACCCTAGCGGTTTGGGCTCATAACCTAAGGAGGTATGAGTTGGGGCGTTCAAAGCAAGCGGTCTTTTCCACCTGCTCAGCTTGAGCCAAACCGTTTGGTTGGCGAAGTTCATCAACACAGCTCGAATCGAAATGCTCGATCGAAAGCGAAAATGCTCATGAGGTGCATGGTGTTTGCCCCACACACCCGAAAGAATTCGGTCTCAGACCACTCCAGGACTGTGTCTGAATGTTGACATTGGATGACTGCAGCTACCATGGCCTGAATGTAGAACCGGCAAAATGCTCGATAGACTTCCTGGCCGCGCCACTCGGACACACTCGTTTTCAAGAATTCGCTCCTTCGCTTCCATCGTTCGTGCCAAATCGGTTTATAAAATAGACCGAATCGGAGTTGGAGAGACAATGGATGGAGATGGATGGAGATGGAGAACACTTCCGCCTGACCTGGCCCCAGCTACTCACAGCAGTGTCCTGGCGCGCATTGAGCGCGAAGAGCAGCTCCCGGCGGGTCACAAAGCCCTTCCTTCGCACAGAGCATAGCGAATAATCGGAATTCGGAATCTGCACCAGCAGCAGCAGCAGAGGGGCAGCGGCAGCAGCACAGCTTTTCACACCTGTTCACACCTGGCCTCTCTTCGTCAAGCAGGTCAAAAAGCCTGCCAGCTCCGCTCATGCCAATCAGATTTCTTTAAATGGACAGAGAGTGTACGACAAACTCTGGACAGCTAAGTTAACAAGCTGGATCCACTCACGAACCGCCAGGATGCTGAAGTAGCCCTGCATGGGCTTCAGCCTCAGAGTCTGCAAAATACACACCAACATTAATATTTCCGCACCATAGAACCAGATTCACGGATCCGTGCAACCAATTTTGAATGCTTTCTGTACAAACACTTGGAAAGGGAATCCGTCTGATTCGATCTGATTCGTGCCAATCCGTCCGACCCCAGTTACACCAAAATCTATCACACGCACACTGCTCAAGACAACACGAGGGCACTGCTCAAGATGAGTTGTGGAGTCCTCCTCAGAGTCTTCTTCTTCCAAACTCTTCGCCACTGGCGCAGGTGGCCTGTGGCAGGGCCAGCGCTCAAAACCGCGGAGCTTGAGGGAGATGTGCCACACAAAGATGTCACACACCGGGTTCCCTGGTATGTCACATCAAGGAGGAAAGCATCCAGGCATCATAGGCGTCATCTCAGTTTTATGCGGTGTTTGGCAATCTACTTCAGTGATTCAATTCACAGTAAAGGTTCTTTGATGGAAGGTTCCATGCGCAAACAATAAAAAGCCAACTGCCAGCCTCTCCATGAAAAAACACGGGTTGGAGCCCATCCGGAGTCCAAGCCATTTAAGATCTCTATGGGCCCTCTGCAATGCTAGAGCTGGCTGAAAGCCCTCCACCGGCCGGAACTCAAGCACCTTGGCGACAAGAGTGCCTCGCTCTTCGGGCTGGGAGGCGCCTTAGTGCCCAAGGGATGCAAAAGATGCCAACTGGAAATACGAGCCATGAATCATCAGGTATGTCCTGTGACCATTTCATGAAATCCAAAATGAAGCGAAGAACTTCTGAGAGTATCACTACATATCTATCTCTCTGTATATAATACTATATCATTATTAATGATTTTGTAACAATGTATGAATTGAAGGATGCTTCCTTTGAGGTTCCAAGTGCCATGCTATTTCAGGTTCTGGTACATCTGGTAACTCTGGCGAAGACCCCAGCGGTTGGCCTCCCAAGGCTTCAGCTAGTGAACTTCCAACCAGGGGCCAGTGTTCCCTCCGCCCCTGAGTACTATAGTTACTAGCTTATCTACTGGAACTAAACCTAAGTTCTTGTCTCTCTTTGCGCCACCAGGCCTTCATAAAGGAACTCCACCTCCGAGTGCGCCGAAGTCCCAGAGACCCGGCTCGTGCGCAGCCGCGACCCCGAGACGGCGACATCATCTACGGCTTCGCCGTTGATCTCCGCGACCTGGTCGCGCGAAGTGGTGATGCCGTTCTCACCGTTCCATGTATCCAACAGGAGAAGGAATAAATAAACCGAACATCGGCCTCCATTTCCAGCTCCCATGGGGCATCCATTTGGTCCAGCCTGGCGAAGAGTTCCCCTGTCGGGGTGTCCATCATTCGCGCACAGCACACGGGCCTTGCATCCCCTGCATTCCATGTGTCACCTCAAAAGAAACTGTCATTTAGCTCGCTATTTCTCAACGTCCCCAGTTCCTGTCAGACATGAAAGACATGAAAGTACTGGTGCTGCATCATGAAATGATCGACC